GTCTTTTCCAATATCTCTTTGTTGGTCATGATTGAACCAGGCTAAAATGATCATATGGATGAATTATATGAATAAATATATATATAAATGATATATATGAAATTGCTAATATATTATTTTTATATATGTGTGTGTATATATATATGAGAAAAAAATATATATATATATGAAATTGCTAATGTGGTTGTATAGGCTAGCATGTGCCATGTCTTTAAGTCAGGTGTCAGATTGAAGGCTTCTCCTACGTCATCTAGCTTCAGGAGCTGAAGAAGCAAACATGGGCAGGTAAGACGGCAGGCTTTGGACTCACAAACTGCAAAAAATAACAGTTTTCAGGTTTAGCCAATAATACAGCAGGCCACTGAGTCAAGCCAGAAAAAACTGGAAGTCAGATGCAGATTTAGCAACAAGGAGGGGAGTTTTTCCAGAGATCCACATGGATTCAAAGCAATCCATGCCCTTGAGGAAATTCCCTTTCAATTGATGGACTGCTCATAGCTGGTCTCATCAGGAGATGATTGCATTATAACAGATCCCATCATAAGGAATGGCTACATCATAACATACATTAAACCATGGGCCAGCCAAATGGACACATAACTTTAGCCATCACAACCAGGCAAAAATTTTTGCTTTTGTGATTGACTTAATTCAATCAGCATAATGTCCTCCAGACACATCCATATATGAGTTATACACATATGCTTCAATAACTCATCATTACTCTTTATGACTACTTAATATTTATTGCTTGTATATATAAAAGCTATTTTGTTTATCCATTCAAATATGATGAATTCTAAGGTTGTTTTTTATCATTTTGTTATGGCTAGTTCTATTTCTGTTTTGTTTTTGTTTTTTAAACGAAGTTCCATGGTGTTCTCCAGAGATTACCATTTTACAATTCCACCATCAATAAGGATCTCAACTTCACCACCACATTGTCAGCACTTGTTTTAATTCAGTATTATTTTAGCAGGACAAGGTGATGTCCACTTTCAGTTTTGATGTTCATCTATCTGATAGCTAATGATTGGCAGCGTCTTCTTATACTTTTGGGAACTTGAATGTCTGCTTTGGTCAAGTGTGTGCTTATGTCTTTCACCCAATTGTCGCTTGAGTTGTCTTACGGTCATTGGAATTTTCTATGTATTTTAGAGGTTAGAGTCTTATCTGATATGTCATTTCTGGAGATTTTCTTCCTAGTCTGTGAGTTATTTTTTTGCTATTCTAATCAATTATTTTCCTTTATTTCACTTAGGTGGTGAGTTACATTGTTTACTTTCTAATGTTGAGCAACCCTGGAATTCCTGGTATGAATCCCCCTTGAACATGATGTATGCTTTCCTTAATAATTAATTCTTTGGTGTAGAAGTTTGGTTGAGAATTTTTGTGTCTATATTCATGAAGGATATGGTTTTCTTTCTTCTTTGTGTGATATCTTTACCTGGCTCAGGTATTAGTTATGTTGGCTTCAAAGTCAATTACTCCCTCTCCCCACCCCCACAGCCCCCATGCGATGTTTTAAAGGGGGTCGAGTAGAATTGATGTCAACTGTCCTTTGCATGTTTAGTAAAATTTCCAAGTGAGTTCATCTGGTCCTGACACTTTATTTTGGGGGCATTTTTTTTTTAATGGTTGCTTCAATTTTGTCTTTTGTTATTGTTGTGTTTAGATTCTCTGTCTCCATTTGTGACAGTCTAAGAAGGTAGTGCATTTCTAGAATTTCAGGTGATTATTCTAGAGTTTCAAATTTGGTAGAATATATATATATAGTATATAATATATATATCTATATATCTATATCTCTATACATCTATATCTCTATACATCTATACATCTATATATCTATATATCTATATATCTATATATATACTATTTTAAGGTGATTCTATATCCTTAATTATATTTGGCCCTACTGCAACTGCTCAATTTTCATTTATTTTGGCTATTTTATATTTCTTCTTCTTGTTCTACTGCTTCTTCTTCCTCTCCTTTTTTTTTTCTGTCTACCCAGTGGTTTGTTTATATTGTTGATCTTTTTAAAGAGGCGATTAAAATTTTTAAATTGGTTGTTTGTTGTCAACAATTTCCCTGACATACCATTTACATATAATACATTCCAATTGTTTAATCACATTCACAAGAGTTGTGCCACCATCATCACAATCAATGCAGAACATCCCTTCCTCCTTGTACTCCTAGTCAACTCGCCATTTCCTGTCAGCCTCCCTTGTTAGGTGTATTGAATCTTTGATCCTTTGTTGTGTCTATAGCTTTATCCAATCAAAAGCAGTGCTCAGAGGGAAGTTCAAAACAATAATTGCCTAGTATATTATAAGAGATGAAACATCTCAAACTAATAATTTACCAGGCAGCTTGAATAAGTAGAAAAGAAAGAGCAAAAGAAAAGTTACCAGAAGAGAGAAAAGAAGTGATCAGAGTAAAGATAAATGAAATAAAAACAGAAACCAATTGAATAAACCAACTTCTTGTCTTGTTGATACTCTGTATTTCTGTTTTCTATTTCATTCATTTTCTACTGCTCCCACTCATAGCAACCCTAGGAAGAGCAGAATGGAACACTGCACAGTCCTGTGCCAGCCTCACAGTTTTTCCTATGCCTGAGCCCATTGATTCAACCGTTGAGTCAATCAGTCTCCTTGAGGGTCTTCCTCTTTTTGCTACCCTTCCATTTCACCAAACATGATGTCCTTCTCCAGGGACTGGTCTCTCCTGACAATATGCTGAACATATGTAAGACAAAGTCTTGCCATCCTGGCCTCTGGCCTTACTTCGTCTAATACAGATCTGTTTGTCCTTTTAGCAGTCCATGGTGGTTTCAATATTCTCCTCCAACTCCAATGCATCCATTCTAAGGTCTTCCTTACTCAATGTACAACTTTCACATGTACATGATGCAACGGGGAATACCATGGCTTGGGTCAGGCACATTTTAGTCCTCAAAGTAACATTCTTGCTTTTCAATAAGATTTCTTGTGCGGCAGATTTACACAACACAATATCTTTTGATCTCATAACTGCTGCCCCAATGAGCATTGATTGTGGATCCAAACAACACATAACCCTTGACCACTTCAACCCTTTGTCCATTTATCATGGTGTTAACTATTGTCCAGTTGTGAGGTTTTTGGTCTTCCTTACACTGAATTATTATCCAGACTAAAAGATACAGGCCTTGATCTTCATCAGCATGTGCTTCAAGTCTTCCTCAATTTTGGCAATCAAGGTGGTATCATTTGCACACAACAGGTTGTGACAAAGCCTTTTTCCAATCCTGATTCAACACTTTTCTTCATAGAAACAGGCTCCGATTTGCTGAGCAAATCATCAGAGAAGTTGCTGTTGAGAGTATGGTCTATATTATGTCCATTAGGCCCAGTTGGATAGGGGCCCTCATGGCATACTGGTTACTCATTGGCCTTCTAATTGAAGATTGACGATTCTAAACTACACAGTAGAAAGATGAGGCTTTCTATCGCAAAAAGAATTACAGTCTTAGAAACCCACAGAACAGTTCTACCATGTCCTTCAGGGTCACTATTGGTCAGAATTGACTTGTTTGTGATAGTGTTATTCAGATCTTTCATATTTGTATTGATTTTTCTATATTTCTATCACCAAAAACGTTGTACTAAAAAGCTCCTATTGTTAGTACAGATCTGTTCATTTCTCCCTTTAATTCTTTGTAAGTTTACTTTATATTTTTGGGAACTCTGGCACAGGGTCCATAGATATTTGCAATCAATATGTCTTCTTAAGAAGCCTTGGTGGCAGAGTAGCTGCTCATTGGGTTAGCTATTTGTTTTTGTACTTAGTGTGTGTCTCTTGTAAGCAACAATGGTTGTATTGGTTTTGCTTTGTTTTAGTAACTGATACATGTCATCCAACATTTAGTGTGGTTGTTGGTTGAAAAGAATTCACTGTAGGCATTTAATTATGCTTTTTGTGTGTATGGTGTTAGTAGCGATTTTGTTCCATCATACTTTCTATGTTGAGTTCTTTTTGTATAAAGTTTTCTTTTCATTATCGAGTTTATGCTTATATCTTTTTTCTTTATTTTCTTCAGTTTGTTTATTAGCTTTCTATGGGGATACTATAAGGTTTATATTTGACATCCTACATTTAGAATAATCTGTTATATCTTTAAGTTATCTTAACTAGCTCACCACACAGTTCCCACCTCATGATAACTATGATGTATGTCTCTTTTTACTTTGATGATATAATTGATTACAATTTGCATCCTAGGCACCTCTAATTTTTTTTTTTTAATTTTCTGTTACTGTTGTGATGTTTTCACAACTTGATGGCATGGAGATTCTGTCATGTGTCTTGATTTTAGGATTTTGACTGATGGTGGTGTTCTCACTAGGTCAGGCAGCTTAGAGCGCCTCACAAAAGCCGAAGTGTGGTGTAAGGCGGGTTCTGAGACTGGGAACGAAATAGGTGGCTTCCTAACTCAACTGAGAATTCCTATGGATGACTACAAAGGCTTGAGTAGAGGGTTTCTCCATGCATACACAGATGACCTGCTTGGAGTCGGTGAGAGAATCCTCAGCTCAAACAGGCCAAGGTTTGAAGATTGTGTGAAAAGGGGTTGGACATGGGGAGGTGGAGAGCCTCCATGCTAACAAATAGTGTTGGTGGAAGGAGGGAGCCCTCTACTGAGTGCATATGCCTATACTTGAGAACAGCTGGATTCATGTGACTGAGTGTTTTGCATAAGCATGTGTTGAGAGCCTAGTTCCCTCCCTTTTCTGTATTCATCTGATCCTCAAAGCTAATCCTCTACCTCCTTTACCTAAAATAAATAATTTTTTTCCAGATTTCCACAAATTGCTAAAACATCCCATAAAACTCATGAATCCACAAAGGAATGGTTCACATATTTTGGAGGCTAGCAATTTCCAAATCCAAAGTTCAGACATCTCTCTGGAAGATTCTTCTTATTTATATCAAATTGGGCTGCTAATTTCTTGCTTCACAGCACATGTACTAAAAATGGAATGATACAGAAAAGATTAGCATGGCCCCTGATCAAGGATGATGCTCAAATTGGGCAGTTGACTCATGAGGATGTGGGGCACATAAATCAGTTTAGATGACAGGCTGCTGGCTCAAGTTCCAAGACATGGACATCAGACCGAGGCAAGTCAGACATAGGATCCAGAGCAAGGAAGCAAACTTTTTCAAAGCTGCTCCATTCCAGTTAAGACGAATACCAACTTTCCTTGGGGTAGAAACTGTTTTCTTAGAGTAGCAATCGACATCTAATTGCTTTCTGCCACTAGCTGACTGAGCACCAGTCTTTGGTTCATGTTCAGTCAGGAAACAGGGAGGTCACAAAGATGGTGTCTTGCTCACACCCAGGTCTTTGATGGAGGAGTCGTTTTTTTTACTTTTTGACATCAAAAGTTTAGATAAAGGACACATTGATTACTGTTGTGCATCTTAGGACAGGACCAGTCTTAGCCAGTCCCATAACCCAATTTTACTGCTTTCACAATTAATCCCACTGCTGGCAGTTTGTCTATTAAAGGGACACCTTAAAAATGGAACGTAGTTCTTGTTTTAATACATATAAAAGAGGATCACTAAATGGTAGATCCTACCCTCAAGGAATTAAAGAGTGATGACTTCATTTTGACTCATCATGACCTTATAGGACAGGGTAGAACTGCCTCTGGGGATTTCCAAGACTATAACACTTTATGGGAATGTAAAGTCTCATCTTTCTGCCATAGAGTGGCTGGTGGTTTGGAACTGCTAACCTTGCAGTTCACAGCCTATCATGTAGCCATTGTGCCACTAGAGTGTCTTAGTTACAGGTAGAGAGACTAGAATTTACAATATACCACAAAATTGGGGACTATGACTGAAAGGACCATATTAAGCAATTAATCACACGATAACATTATAGGAAATCATGAAAAATGTAAATTGTAAATAACTCAATTATTATAACAATTAATTTTTACATTAAGTTAGTCTCAATCTCTATCCATATAAATAACCATTTGATTTGCTATACATACACTTTTGGAGAAATACTTATACTTGTACTGTATATACTAGCTCAAATTACATTGTCAATAATAATATATAAAGTTATTTATTACTGAGCATATTACTGTAATTATATTTTTAGGGATGTCATACAGTCTTAGAAGCAGATTTGTCACAATAATCTAATTCCATTATCTTTATTCCAACATTATAATGCTTTCCTTTTTATGTTTAGATTGTGATTTACAATTGATCAATAAAAGATCATTATGTGATTCTACATAATGTGTGTAGATTTGGGTTATTTTTAATGTTATTGACTGGAGAATCTCTTGAGTTAATGATTCTAAAATCTCTAGAATGAGATTCACAATCATGAGTCATTCATAACGGCACTAACCAATAATAGCTTTTGTACAATGCTGTTTGTTTCCATGTTATGAAACAGTATGTAACAATTGCAACATACATTTTTAACATTGGGATGTGTTATTTAATTTCTAATTTATACTTGTGTGGCAGTTAGATTTTACATCAACTCGAATTTTTGTCAATGTGACGAGGTGAAGTCCATTCTATTCTGATAATTCTTCCTTGAGGCTTGGCCTTTTTGTATGAGAGACACTGGGGACTCCTCCTCTCTCTCTTTGACCCTTCACTTTTTAGGACTCTGCTTACCTAGAGGAGTGGTCCCATATGGACTGCCAACCCTGATAACTGTCAGAGTCCTCTGCACCCACTGGCCTGTGATCTCTCTGGTTCCCACTTCACATTTTTGCATCATCAGCCTGCAACTACAAGAAGAAACCCCAGCTAGAAGCAGACCCATGAACTTTAGTTGGACTGGCCCAGGATACCTTCTTGATGTAAAGTTCTTTCTTATACACATATGAGTGTCACTGGTTTTGCTTCCCAAGAAAACCCAGCTTAATACAATTTGTAAATGCAAATTCAAGATTATTTAAATATCATTTTAAGATTCTAGAGCGGCAGTTATTTTTCGTTGAAAAATTTTATTTCCTCTTGTGTATTCAGAGTAATAAAGTTGGGCTAAAAATTTATGACCATCTCCAGTAGCTATCTCTTTTCTTTAAACTTTTATATTTATACAAACCAAAGTAAAAATTGCAATAACCCATTAACGTTGATTGGAATTTGAAAACAGATATTTTGGTCAATAATGTAACATGAAAGTGAAAACTCTTGTTTAAAACAATTTTAATTATATCGTAGTATAATGTGAGTGCATCATTTGTAGCACCTAATATTAATGGGACATTTTCATAATGTTATATTTTAATAAAGGTGCATTTGATTAAATTCTTAAATATTCCCGAATAAAGTTTGTCTTATTTGTTATTAAGGTTGCAACTACCAAAATTTTTCCTCAGACAAAATGTTACAAATATTTCAAGGGTTTGGTTGAAGTTTCAGTATCCAAATTATATTGGGATATCTGAAGCATGTAAAATGAGACATTAATTATATTGTCTTCTATTAGTATTAACTTATTAATGTTATTGACTTATAATGATTAACTAAGTCTTAACTAAATTTTATACAAGACATTAAAATACAATTGATGCCAATTTTTTACATGATCAGATTAGCACTCTTCAATATCCAAAACTACTGCTCCTATAAATCCAAAATATATAAAAAGATGTATGCAATTTATTGTGTTAGTGAATATCAACACAAAACAATATAAAAACTTATTTAATGTGTATGTGGATTTAGGGTTCAATCTTACCAATACATGCTAGTTAAAAATCATGATTTCTTTATTCTTTTTTATCAAGTTGCTAATAAGTAATTTATGCATAAATATATATTTATCTATTGCAATCCCAGTCAATGTAGTGATTTCCTGAGTAAACTACTGTAGATATTTTAAAATCTGTGGTTCTTGATGAACTTCTGAATTTAACTCCTGTATTAAAATCAATTAATAAACACAGATAAATACCTTATGAAAGGAAACCAAATCAAATCCAGGCCTTGATAGGAAGAAGAGAAGGAAAGTAATCAGTTAAACTAGTAAGGGGAGGAGACTACTATAGTAGAAAGAACATTCCAAATATAAGCTCTGAAAATGTCTCAAAGAATTAGTGGGGAGACCATTTTTTTTCTTTATGGAAATAGAGTAAACAAGCGTAGAAAAAAACGTGTGAGAAAGTGGAATGAGAGGGGAATTCATCATGTAGTAAACCATTAATTTTTTAAATGCGCTAAGTTTATTGTCAGATGTGCTAGGGGGAAACTAAGACCCCAGATTCAAATATAGTTGGTAAAGATCATTTTATTAAGCCTCAGACTGGACAAAGGAAAAAGAAATATAATCATCCTAGAAACCTTAAGCATGCACACAGTACAGAGGCCAAATGATATGCTCTGACTCATGGTCACAGGACTCATATGTTTAATAGAGAACATAGGCAATCATCACAAATTCATAATTGGTGGTAAGTTAAATTTTCACTATCTCAGTTGGAACTACAGAAGCTGTGATAGAGAAATTATTTATGTATGAGGGGTACCAAAAAAAAAAAACAGGACAAAGCTCCCCTGAAAAGAGCTTCCATGGCATGAATTTTTACCGCTAGGTGTGCCTGGAGAAACTTGCTCTGAGTTAGTGCACCCAGTGGCATCCCTTGGGAAGGTTCTCTGTGGTAATAGTGATTTTTTTTTTGTAAAAGCAGTTTGTCTCAACCTCATTTTTTGTGATCACCAATTTAAGAGAACAGTGTGCAGCTATGTTTTTTTTCCTCTGTTCAGGAAAAATGTCACAGAAATTTTTGTGAAGTTGAACACGGTTTATAAGGACAGTGCTGTGGGGAAAACTCAAGAGTATGAGTGATTTTCTTGTTTCAAAACAGGTGAAATATCAATTAATAACAACTTCACAAACAGATGAAAATGTAGTGCATTTACAGTTCGTTCCAGAAGGTCACAGTGTTAATCAAGCTTTCTATAGAAAGGTTCTGGGAAGATTACATAATAGTGTGAAACAAAAAAGTCCTGATAGTGGGAGATGAGGGACTGGCTTTGCCATCATGACAATGTACCTGCTCACATAGCCATCTCAGTGTGCCAGTTTTCAGCAAAAAAAAAGAAAGCATGTGTCTCTTGCCCAATACACTTTACTCACTTCACTCTAAAGGATATCTTTTTGTTTCCACGAATGAAGAGGGACACGAAAAGACAGCAATTTGATGACATAAAATTGTTGAAGAAAAAAATGAGGGAGGTGCTGTCAGACGATGTCAGATAGATCTTGGCTGACATCCTAGAATATCAGAAGAATGTTTACTAGTGTTTTATTGACTATGCAAAGGCATTTGACCATAACAAAGTATTGATAGCCTCCAAAAGAAGGGGAATTTCAGAATACTTCATTGTGCTCAGGCGGAACATACACATTGATCAAGAGGCAGTTGTGTGAACCGTTTTCAACAATATGAATGACAACTATTGAGGTAGTTGGTTTATTGTGCCAACCTGGCCGATAAACACAAGTGGGGTTAATTGAAGGGCAGAGGGATAGATGCCTCAGTGAGCCTCACCTTTCTTGTTCTCGGGTCTCTTGCTTTCTGATGGTCGGACTAGGGTGTAGCTGCCTTAGCCAGTTCCCTGCTTTAGCTGGCAAGGCTCACTTCCTGCAAGACATCCCTGAGGAGAAGCCATAGGGACCTACCCCGATGCAGCCCTGGGTGCTGGAGCACCTGTGTGGAGAACCCTTCCAGAGTTGAGATGTTTACACATTCACTGACTCGGTTTTCCTCCTGCAGTCAGCATCATTACATCTGTTTTGTGAGATGGAGGAGGACTTTGTGGGTTGGTGTCAGACATATGGGTTAATGTTGGACTTGTGGGCTTGGACAGCATTGGGTTGGGATGTCTTCTTGATATACACTTAACCTTTATATAAAACTCTCTCTTATACATGAGTTTCTGTGGATTTGTTTCTCTAAACTCCCCAGACTAACACAATTATAAACATGGATCTCACCAAATGAAAACACAAGAATCAGACTATATTTTCAGGAAAAGATATTGGAGAAGTTCAATA